AAGTTGCTCCGCTTTGAAAGAAAAAAAAAAAAATCGAACGAGCCGTATCGATCTCGTCCCGTCGCGTATGCATATATCGGACGCGTAATTACTCACGTTGGATCGTGTTTTTTGGTAACGTGTTTCGGCCGCGCCATCACTTTGATTCTCTTCGAGGCGCGCCCCTTCAACGCCGCCCGTCGAATGCCGTAAGGGTCCGCCTGAAAATGATGAAAGAAGTCCGACAGAGTTAGAGATACTGAGGCACACAGCCAGATACAGTAGTGCCTGTAACTGTCCAACTGTTACGGGACCGTAAACTGGTCAGTTAACACTTTCGCGATCGGTCGATATACAGCATATAATTCTGCTATTTGTAAGTATGTGAATACAAGAAACATTACATCTCAGCCTGATGCTTGTAGTTATATTTTGTTGAAATTTTTCCAAAAAATTAAACATCACAGATGCGTGTAGAAAAAATATCTACGTTTCGTTAAGACGGGTGATGCATACTAGAAATGCATACTAGGCATAAAAAGATGAGCGTTATTGTTTCACCGATACCAATGTCGATTTCATGTACAGTAGTTTCACGTAACTGACCAACAGTCCGAAATTGGTCAGTTAAGCGGGGTGGGGTATGGCATCGAAAGAAAGAGTGGGGATGAATGTTATGTTCCACGCGGCCATATTGCAAGGTAGCGTAGAGTGGGGTCAGCGTTGGTCAGTTACGAGGTCCAAAGTGTAGTCATTTTTTTTCCCCCATGGATATTTTTACTACAGTTTCTGAGATGCGGAGTCCCTGTAACCTGTATTGAACATGAGAGTTTAGATCTTGGACGGTTACGAGTAGTGTGAAGTGTAGGTAGCAGTTGCAGGATAGAAATTTCAAAAAACCTGTTAAACAGAAGTGTAGTCAGTTAAGTGAGGACTATATCTTTTGTGTGTCGAGTGTTATGTTTCACGCGGCCATATTGCAAGGTAGCGTAGAGTGGGGATAAGTCCCAATTTCAAGAATTGGTGGGGATAAGCGCTGGTCAGTTACGAGGTCCAAAGTGTAGTCATTCTTTTTTTTACTATTCTTTTTTCCCTTGGATATTTTTACTACAGTTTCTGAGGTGCAGAGTCCCTGCAACCTGTATTGAACATGAGAGTTTAGATTTTGGACAGTTACGAGTAGTGTGAAGTGTAGGTAGCAGTTGCAGGATAGAAATTTCAAAA